AGTCTTCATACCTTCAAATAAACTATAACTTTATGTTTCGATTTTTTATTGAGAATACATAATCACACTCAATTCCTATGGAAAATTGCTTATAATTTCGCTTTGAAGCCTAAAATGTAATGAGTTAAAATATTTGCTAAAGCAGTATTTGGGTTTCCCTTCATTAGTCCTTATTGATAACCACTTATGCTTACTACATACACTCTTATTAAAGATTTAATCTGACTTCTCATAATTTTTTGTCTTCTGCACACCTCACAGTGTACATTTACATGTTCTATTTTACTTATTTCAGTCTTTTAGTTTCACCATTCGTCGCTCGCATCGTGGCTCATCTCGACATTCTGGCACCACCGATTCCACATTCTCGATGCGTTCCGGAACTGCTCAGCCTCGTTCCACATCCCGCTTATCCTCTCCTCCACCTCATCAACAGCAATCAACTAATGCAGGTATATCGCGCCACTATACAAGTCATCAGCACAGTCATCGTCATCTTCGACGTCACCGTCCTGGCTTTACTGCTGTGGCTGCCTCAGGAGGCTTTAATACATCTTCTCGTTCTAACGATTCTCAAAGCGGCCTTCCCCTCAGTCATCTGGCTGCAAGCCGAATATCTCTAACTTCTCCCACAGCTAATACCAGTGTTGGCAATGACGTCATAAGCTTGCCTCTCTCAGACATCAGCTCATCTTCCCATGTAGATGATCTCACATCTAGTTCTCAACTAGACAATTCTGAAGTACGCGAACTAATGTCAGAAGAAGTGATTGTCCAGACACTAACAGAACGAAGAAGCCCTAGAGTCAACTTAAGCCAACATCGATCCTTGGCCTCTGTGAGTTGATTTAAAATTGGTGTTATGCTTGTGCATGTTTATTGATCAGCAATCAAAAGATTGAATTTTGTTCATTTTTTCTATTTGGTTTTGTTCAGGATCCTCGAGTTACTGAAGAAGATCTTGGCTCTGATGGACATTCTAATGCAAAAGGGCGTAGTGGTTGTGCTTCAAACTCAGTCGTCTCTCCCACGACTAACGCTGATACTGTGCTCGTAAGTGAGACTGAGTCAGAATCTGAGTCAGGTGAACTTAGTGGACAGCATCTTGAGAGAGAAGGATATGTAGTTAGATCTACAATTCTGGAATCAGAGGCTCATAATTCGCCTACCCGGCCGCATAGTGATGGAGAAGATGATGGTGATGATACTGTAGAAGAAAAAGCCGATATCGACGATGAAGATGATCGAGCCATTATTGAACCAGCTCCAGATGATATCGAGGACGACATGACGGACCGCGGAACCGACAATGAACAAGATGATCATGAGGCAAGAGCCAGGGTTGCTGAAAGAGTTCGTCCATATGATGATTTATACTTTTCCTCTCATGGTGATGAATACGATGATGACGAGGAAGCTGGTAATGATGATGGAGATAATGACAACGACAACGATGATGACGATGAAGTAGAGAGAGAACAGAACGACGAGGATGACAATGATGAGCGTGGGGTTGAGGCTCAGATTCGTGAACTCCTTCGATCTCCTCATCATCGGGAAGATCGAGATCCCATTTTAAATGTAGACAGCGGCTCTGATGTCATTGATTCCGACTCTTCCGAGAGGCGCCAATATAGTGCACTTAGGGGCCACAATATTTCGCGGCACTGTCCGAGACTTACGTTAGTGCCTTTGGCGTTTCGTGGATCTGCTAGTGCTATCGAGGGTGGTGGCTCTTCCATTGCCACAGATTATGATACTCTAGAAAGCGATATCTTGCATGTAGGGTCTCGACCATCCATCGATGTACCTAGTCGGCATAGAAAAAGACGTCATCAACGCAGTCGAAGCAGGAGTCACGATGGTTGTCGAGGCAATCGTTCGAAGCGGAGGACGCAGAGACGGAAGCCGAGCGAAGCTGACTGTGAGGATAATCTCGGTAACGACATGTCTGATGGGAGACGCCGCCATAAAACAAGTGCTGCATCCCGTAGTTCATTCTCGGCTAGGCGCCGCCATAGACAACATGAAACAAAGCGTCATCGCAGAAAGCGCCATCATCGAATAGATGACGCACCTGCCGACGAGACTTTAACTGATGCCTCTTGCCTCCGATGCAGTCGTCGTCGCCGTAGAGCTGGAAGTGATTTAGACTATCGCTGCGATTCTCCTATTTGCAGACGCCATCATAGATACTCATCCCTCGGTCGTGATGCAGATGGGAATGGGGTCGGTGATGGTGGCAGTATGGGAAGAGACGTAGGAGGCGAAGCCGGTGGAGACCGGGCAAGTCTGGCATCCAGCACTGCCGCAACTGTGGGTACTGTTGGCAGTATCATTGATCTGGACGCCACCTCAGATACTGGAGGTGGATGGGGAGGTTCTGTATCTAGTTCCATTTTAGTAGCCGGCAGATTCTGTGCCCCTGGCCCTTCGAATGTTGGTCCTAGGGCTGTTGGACTCCTTGGCAGTGGAAGTGCTATCTCACCAGCCACAACCCCTAGTGGGGGAGTGGATGAGGAGGAGGAAGGTGAGGATGAAGCTGACGAAAAGGATTCACAAGTCGACGTACCTAGTCATGCCATAGCAGTAGAAGAAGATCAACTTGAAGCCAGCGATCAAGTTCGGCACTTATGCACAGATTCGAGTTCACTTTCGCTTCCGGTTTCTACTCAATTCGGATTGAATCTTTCACTGGAAGTTAGTTTGTCTTATTGCTTATATTTTTACTACTTATTATTAATACTTATTAGTTGTATTATTGTGTTATGGCTTTAATAGCATTGTTTACTTATGGAAAAACGAGCCCCCTTTAAAACGATTATTCAATCTCTCGTTTCTGTCTTTAAGGTTTGCCTTATCTTTGCGCTGCTCGTTATGATTTTGACGTAGAATTATACTTTACTTAAGAATTTTCCTATTCAGAAGTTGCTTGATCTTGTTTTCGCAACTTGGAACGCAGCTTGTCTGAAGTCCATAGTATGCATGCTAATTTTCAGTTGGACTCTGGAGAGACATTTCACCGGCGTTGTCAGTGAGCACTCTTAGCACCGAATAATCTTCTTTGTGGTGCTAAGACTGGTAAGGCTCACTGACGATGCCGGTTAAATGTCTGAGAATGTAGTAAGCACAGTCTGACTGGAAGTTATCATGCATACTATGGACACTGGACAAGGTGCGTTCCTTCAGGTAAATCTGCCAATATGATATAGTTGAGAAAACAAGGTCGAACAACTTCTATTAAATGAAATGAGACCACGACCATACTAAAGGCCACACTATCTTGATCTTCATACATTCGATTTTCCTATTCAGCATTGACTGGAAGTTTGATTCACAGGCTATCGCTTAGCTCCTTACTATTAATTGGAACGGCTTTGCCATTCCAAAAGTTACTATACGTCAAGTGGTAACTCGTTGTCAGTCCAATACATGATGCACGGGTTGATTGATACTCGCTATTAGGGTGATGTCTTGTAATCTGCAGCATCCATTCAAGGTCAGGATTTAATCCCATTTTCGAGAATGATGTTAAAATCAATTTATTTATTTATTACTTGATGGCGGTCCATGCATCAGGTTCTTAAAGCAATAATTCTGGATTCACTTAGTGAAATTATTGATATATATCATCTAGCAGTTATTATCTAAAACACATTCGGATCTGTACTTAATGCCACTCATTAACTGGAAAATATACCATGGATTATATTTACCTGTATCCATGCTCTGGAAAAATTAAGCCTCATCTATTTAGAGTTGTTTGATTTTGTGGACTATTGTTAACTCTAGACTGCATTCTAAAAATTTTGCCCTTTTGTGCCCCTTATTCTAGAGTGGACTGCTTTGAATTTAATTCAAACAACTAATCGCTTCATGCAGCTAAGGCTTGAATAGCTAAGTCTGAGTAAGCCAGTAGTATCTGGGCTTGCGCTCATTTATTGAGCACGTTACATAACACTCAGAGTTTTGCACAGCGCCATAGCAACCAATTTTCAAGCGATGAACACACAACATACTGTGCTATCAATGAGCTTATTTTTGGTGGTTGTTATAGGCCATACAAAATCTGGACTGTTTATAAGTGTGCAAAAAAGCGAAATTCTGCCCAATATTCACTTAATTAAATGAACTCCATATTGGCATGTTGCGTTGAAGCCTATGGAGGATATCATGTATAGTTTTCATGTTTACCAACAACAAAAAATAGCTATTTCTTGCATTATAATTTTCCCTGATAGCATAAATTTAGAGACTTTAAATTTCAGCCCATACGATCCACATGACTGACATGACCAATCCTATCTTCTCTTTGATGCGGGCGCTTTACGTTTCTTGAAATTCAATATAAGGTTATTGAGTCAAGGAATGTCCAAAAGATGTAGGCTCGGATTGCCTGACCACATCAGCTAAATGTACTCCAACATACTAACGCAAATATTTTCTTTTAAGGTGCCTTCTTAGTACAGGTCCATTACATAAGCTAAAATTGAATTGCTTTATTTGCTGCAAGCTGACTTCATGGCAATTATATTAGATGTCTACAATGAACATAGGTCATTGCCCTTGCATCATGTAACTTGTTAGAACAGCAGAAAAGAGTTCAGTGGATTAAATATAAGTTAATATATTGTGTCTTCTCATTTTCCATTCCCCAACCTTAATCCTGATGTGAAC